CATAGATCATTAGCCTAATTCTCCCTGTTTTATTATAGCAGTGTTGTATTGCCACCCCTGTATAGGTCCCATGCTGATGCATGACCACCTTGTGTTTAAACACTTGCTCCGTGTTTTCCTTGGCAGGCACACGGAAAGAGACTGACTGCACAATTAATGGGGGTGATCCAGGCTGTCTACCCTGCCCAGAAGGGCGAGAGTACACAGACAGCAAACATTATTCTTCTAAATGCAGAAGATGTGGAAGTTGTGATGGAGAACATGGTAAGTGTCTTAAACAACAATTGAAAGAGACCAATCATGGTACTCTCTACAGAACCATTTATAATACCATTTGAAACGGGGCCTACTCTGGTGCTATATTGGCAGACAGAAAGGGACAGGACGGGGCTGACTGGGGTGAAGCAGGACCAGGTACTGAACTAATCACTGCTCTAGACATTTATGGGTCAAGTCTAAGCAATTGTCCCAGACGCAGGAGGGTGAGTAAATACGAACCCTGTGAACGGGGTTCATCAGCTCCAATCAAAACTGCAGAAACATGTTTTTCTGCCTTGATTTATGCTTGTGTAAGGGCTCTTGTTCATGGCCAGAAAGAGCTCAGAAACCTTCAAATCCAAGGACACAGGCTCTCGAGAGGTGGATGGGCTGTTTCACCTTCTTTGGTGATCTGGTTTGTCCTGAGAATTCCAGTTGGGGCCCTGAATTTCCGTATCCCAATCTATTCTGAGGGCCCAGATTAAAATATAACTAAAATACTCCCAGTTTTGTTGGACATCAAGAAATCTCTGAACATAAGCTTTTTCTTGTCTCTATCCAGGCTTTAAAGCAATGTTTCTCAACTATGTCTGTACATTAGAATTACATACGGAGCAGTGAAAAATGCGAATGTTTAGGCCCCACCTTAGAGCAGTGAAATCAGAATGTCTAAGTGAGGGCTTTGGCATTGGTCTGAGTGACTAGGTCCAGGGTGGGCCCTGACAATCTGCATTTCTAACAAGTTCCCAGGTGATGCCGATGCTGCTGGTCCATAAGCCACACTAGTAACCAGGCGTTAGGCGATAGGAACAAGGGAGCCATTTAAGCAAAGGCGGGGTTGCCTTGGCTGCAGGATTGTCTGTCCACTTAAAACTCTGCTGAATGATTTCAACCATTTCAACCTAGGGTTGCCTGTTTTGCATTTAAACATTTTTTGTGTGTTACTAAAGGCACGATGGTGTGGCTGCTGATAATAAGAGGTGGATCTCAAAAATCTATGCTGCTCTTACCCATCATTTTCATAGTCCATTGATAACTAGCTGTTATAATTAATCGTCTTCAAATTGGTTTTCTAGGCTTAGAAGTGGAAATAAACTGTACCCGGACCCGGAATACCAAGTGCAGATGTAAATCAAACTTTTTTTGTAACACCCCTCCATGCGAACACTGTAACCCTTGCAAGAGGTACGTTTTAGTCTTTTTCTGATTAAAACACTAGATCTATCTTGAGAGAGAACGTTTTCCTAGGGGGAAGCAACACAGGCTGAGAGTCAAGAATTTGGGTTCTAGCCTTGCTTTGCCTTTAAACAGCTGCATAACCATTTGTTCATTCAGACATCCAGTCTCCAAACATGTATCGAACACCTCCTGTGTGCTTGACACTGCTGGCTGCTTAAGCTAACAGTATGAGCAAGACACATTCCTGGCATCAAAACTCTCAGGCTAGTGGCAGAGAGAGTCAAAAAGGGCATGGTTGTTGTGTTAACACCATGTGGCAAGCATCAGAAGAGACTTGCGCCTAGGGTGTTATGAGTTACATAGAAGAACCTTTCGCCGTGCCTGGGAGATGCAGTGAAGATATGACATGTGGCTTGAGTCTTGAAGGAAGGTGTACACGGATTTAAAGCACCTTTCTGGCAGGGAAACAGCAGCTGCAAAGAGACGGAAGACGCTCCGGAGAACAAGGTACCTGGCTGGAGTGCAGGAGAGACTGAAAAGGAACCAGTGCCAGATCAGGAAGGGCCTTGTCTTTTGATTTGACCCAAAGATAGAAAACCTGATGGTGCATCTCAGTGTTCTTCTGATTAACTGAGGGAGTCTGAGCAGATCACTTAAACTCTCTGGGCTTCAGTTTCCCTTCTCATTAGGATGCAGATAATAGTCACTTGTCGTATCAGCCTCATTTCTGTGACAATCAGATTGGGTAATACGTGTTACAAAAATAGCGTTTGTTTTGTAAGGCATTGTTTTGAATACATGTAAGCATAATTAAGATTATATTAATGTGCCTCTCCTTAAACTTGTAATTCAGCTTAGGAAACATTTAGGAGTTCACCCAATAGGTTTGAAAAGTAGGAGCATGATGCCTTATGTCTCTTATTTACTGGAAAAAATGTAAGGTATGTGCATTTAACCTAGCGTTGTCTTTCTAGCCCCAAGTACCTGAGAAAGCCCTCATCATGACAGTAAGTAGGGATTGGGGGAGAGGCAAGCTTAAATCAAATACTAACAGTAAGTAGTTCTAAATACTTCATAATCTTGATTTAATTTTCTTCTCACCATAACCCCTTTAATCAATTAATATTATCTCCTGGTTATTGGTGAGAAAACAGGCTCATCATGGTTTAGTGACTTGCTCAAACTCCTAGGTAGATAACGGGCAGAGCCAAGCTGTAATTCAGACAACTGGACTGTCAATGTTTGGCTGTCTGAAAAAAACCCACAAGAACCTCTTGAGTGTCCTAATCACAACTTGATGCTAAAAGGGGAAACCTCTAAGGACCAGCTGAGGAGGCTCCCTAGGTAGCATCATGGCTCTTGTCTGGCCATTTTACTGTTCTATGGGACTGCTTTGAAGTTGGTTTTGGCAGTTTATGATTGTCTCCAAGTATTTTAAGAGCACAGTTTATTACCAATTTTAAGTTTATTTTGGGGTCTATTTCATCCTTTTTTTTATATGTCAATAATTTATCACCTTTCTTTAACTCTTAGCATTTTTAAAACATAGTCATTTTGGGGCCAATCGAGTGGTGCTTTGGTTAAGAGTTGGCTTGGGAGTGCCAGCTCTGAGCAGCAAGGCCCCACATGAGGGCCAGTGACACTGCCCTCTACAGCTAAGATGGTGAACAACAGCTCCACCTAGAGCTGGGCTGCCGTGAGTTGCCGGCGACCGGTGTAGGCTGCAGTGGGGCTGGCCGGCAGCTGGCGTGAGTTTTCTGAACTGCCCTGAGCCGCTGTGAGCGGCCATCCAATGGCCGGCGAGCGACTGCCTCACCCGGGAAGAGCGCAACGATAATGCCAACATGGGCCAGTGAAGCGTCGTCCTCCACAACTAGACTGAAGAACAAAAGGACAGCAACTTGTCTGTTCCTCTTCCCCGATTTCCCAATGCTGTTCTACGCCCCCAACTCCCCAATAAAATCCTAAAAAAAAAGTCATTCTTTATTCATCCAAACATCCAGATTCTGTTATGCATTTGTACCAGCTTTAGATGCTAATCTAGAAATATTTGAGGGACTATATTCATCAGAGGTGCAAAGATGCATAAAATGGCCCCAGATTTATGATGTGTCATTGAAAATGATCAAGGAATCAATCAACCAGGCTTTTTGAATGTCCTCTGTATTTTTTTCTAGTTGTGAACATGGAATCATGGAGAACTGCACAACCACCACCAACACCAAATGTAAAGAAGGTTATTATTTTTTTTATTGCATATACTCTCCTTTCTCCCATTCCCACAGTGAAATATGAAGAAAAACTAACCCCTTGATTCTTTGAGAGTACCTTCTTAATCTTAAAGACTGCTTGTTTTTATATAAAATGTCCAATCTACAGGATCCAGTCATGAATTACGGTGGTTGTGGATCCTGGCCCTGATTCCACCAGCAGTTGTACTAACAGTTTGGCGTAAGTTCTTACTTTGCTCAACTTGCAAATTGAAATAACTTGGAAAGTACTTGTTCAAGGAAGTCCCCTCTGTCTCTTACCTATAAAAAACCTTCTATGAGATAGGTAGCTCTGTTATATTTTTAATTCCTGCCACTAAATACACCCCCAAAAGCTGGTAAGAATAGATGATATTACCCCTCAGCTATTTGCTTTTAAGCAACCACTTTGGGGCACTGAGTGGGTAGTCCAATCCTCCCTACGAACAATGGTGTTTTCATTCAGACAGCAGCTGAGTTCAGCAAGAATCCTAAGGAATCCTGCACTGTTCATCAAGATTGCCCCCTGCACAAAGAAAACACAAGAGGCAAGGGTCTTCCTGGGGAAGGTATTGCAGGGGACACTTGATAAATTCGTCCCTCTCTGTGCCTCCTCACCCTTGTCTATATTCCATGATTTTTTGTTATTTCTCCAACGTAATGTAAAATACTGTGCAATACATTTTATGCAAGGGTTACCTAGTAAAGTCAGCAGGTAAGCCAAAATTGGGTATAATCATAATTACTCCAGAAAACCCCTTTAAATCATTCATAAAACAAAGGGTGGTGCAACTTTGAAGCATTCAATTTTTCTTTCTCTGTTGGAACAAGACGCTGTTTCTCCAGTTCAGCTGAAGATCAAGAGGTTGCCTTGCCTTTAGAGGTTCTTTAGCTAAAAATACACACTCAATGTTTAAACGCTATAACTGTGCATGGAGACTTACAAATTACTTTCTTCCATCTCATACTGACTTCAAGGCATATACTCATTGAGTGTGTATGCTTGAGTTATTTGTGAGTTGCATGTACTTGAATTCCTGGGCATTAAATGCCACTCCATGGCAAGTTGATGTCAATTTTCCATATCCCGTGCCTCTGTCCCTTGCTGTAGCTACGACGTCTAGCTCCAAGCTGGTAAGAGGCAGTGCTGATGCTATAGTAAGTCAGAAGCCAGCTTCAGGCTAGCCAGTGTGCGGTAATTGTATGTTTCCATTAAGGTGTGGTATATCGCTAGAACACTTGACCTAGTGGGGTGGGATTGTCCCAAATCAGGTCAATGCTATCTCTTGGGGTGTGTGGTCATTTTAAGTTTAAATGAATTTCTTTTTTTTTTCTCTTCTCACTTCTCTTAGCATGAGAGTAGTGCTCACTTGCTTTCTAAGGCTGAGACCTGAGTCTGATAGAGATTTCTTTGATCTTTTAGTGGTGAAAAGAAAGTGCGAGAATAATGGTCACCATACATTTACACCTTCAAATACCGTAAGTGTTGAAACGTGCATCCGCTTTCTTAAAAACATAGAGAGAGTAGTACTTGAACTTTTTGTTACTTTTTTTAGCATTTATTGTGTTTGCGTGCACATGGGTTATAGGGCATCAGAAAGGAATTAAGACAAACGACCTAAGTAGGAGTGTGCTCAGTGTGAGTTAGAAAAAGGATGAGGCCAAGCTCCAAGTTCCACATTGGTATTATCCCTGCAGAGAATGTATGAGACATCCTTTACCAGATGGATTCTATGTCCAAGCCCAGGCATAGAGATAGCTCTTAAAATATATTACAAAGGCACAGCTCAACTTTCTCCAGCCACTTGTTATCATAGCTCTCGCCATATTTTTTTTCCAACATGGAATCAAAGCATTTCAAATAGCAAAAGATACCCTGGGAGGAAAAACCAATTCATACCATGAGTAATGACTTTCTCATTTGGGGCCAAGGCTCAGTGGGAGTTAAGGTTATTTAAATCAATNAATCAGTGGCCCAGTTGCGCAGAGCTCACACTCTTAAGCCAACTCTTAACCAACTGAGCCGCTCGGCTGGCCCCATTATATTCTATTTTGAATAAAAGTTTTACAAAATCTCCACTACACATAGATTAACCAATGAGGGCAGAAATCTGTATTCTGGTCATCCTTTTATGTTCATAGCAAATACTTGGAAATAGTTCCCGGGTGACACTCAGACCTGAAATGTCTGCAGAGCATTTCTAGATGTTTCACCTCATTTGTGGGGGTATCTTTGGGTAATAGGACTTGGCAGCCCCAACAGAGTTGTCCTGATCTTTGTCTTTGGACCCTGATGGGCTCAACTTTGCTTAATAAGTGACCAAGTGCCTTCTGGCAATGGCTGAATCAGGGGCTTCACCCTGCTGAGATAGGCAGGTGTGTAGGAATAGCAACGAAGCTCCACAGACTCTAGGGGCTCACCATCACTATGGCTGACCATCCATCACAGACCACCAACAGGTTTTTGACCAGCGCTGGCAGAGTTTTCACAATTTCTAAGCAAAGACTCAGCCCCTTACTCCTCAGAGGATGTTCTCTACTGAGCTGTTGTCCCCAGCACGAATGGTCTGATTCAAAGCGTGAATATAGCAGGAGAAATATGTGACTGGCCCAGTGGACCCATGGCCAGGATGCAATAGCTTGGGTGTGATAACACCAGCACCTGAGCCTAGGTCGTATGCTCTTATCTTAGGTAACAACAGACAGGGCTGTTAGCAAANTAATGGGGAAGTGACAAGGAGGAGGAAAATAAAAAGAAAGTAGAGGGGGAGGAACTAACACGATTGAGTGCTTACTATGTACCATGTTATATGCTTATGTGAAATAGCATTTGACAAAATTCAACATCTATTCATGATGAAATTTTCACAAAGCTAGGAAAAGAAAGGAACTTCCTCCACCTAGCGAGAGACATCTAGGGAAAAACCTATGACTAACATCATACTTAATGGGGAAGGATTCAATGTACATTATCTGGTGACTCCTTCCAACGGTCCTGTAGCCCCATTTTACAGATGAAGGAGGTGAGGGTTTAGAAGGCCAATGAAAGCATCCACAGTCACACAACCAGTAAGAGCCAGCGTATTCTCAGAAACGATCAGATTGTTGTCAAGCAAGATTGCAATCTTTCAAGGCTTTGCTAGGACTCTAAAACTGCGTCTAACTTCTCCCTACCTTGAAGTTTAGGTTTAGATAAATAGGGTTTAAGCAGCAATTTTCAGATACTTGGCACTAAACAATTTCGCAAATATACAGTTTGGGAGATATGATTTGAGGGGGGTAAGGATACGACTGTTTGACCAGGATTAACCTCACTTATTCCTTCCTTCCTTCATTTATTTATTCATTCATTCATTAATGCTTATTGCACATCTGCCCTGTGCCAGGCACTGTGCTAGGCTCTGGCCTATAAACACTCTTACTTCCTGGAGCCTCCAGTTCAGAAGCAGACAGCAACAAGACAGTGACACAATCAAATGCTAAATCACAGCTTTGACAGATGGCATTAGCAGGAAAGGTAGAGGGGTAGCATGATGACAGGAGGATTTGACCTAGTGTATGAGGTCAGGAAAATGACTGATACGAAATATCAAGGAAGAAATAGCATGCATAAGGCCCCTGTGGCAGGAGTGAGCAAGGGGAGTGGAGAAATGGAAGGAAGAGCAGTGTTGTGGAGCAGGGTGACCAAGAGAGGCCTGGAGCCTTGAGGGGGCGGTGGCGGNCTTGGGCAAATCACTTTACCTCTCTAGGCCTCAGTTTCCTCACTTCTAAAAGAGGGATAGTAATTGTAGCTGCCATGAAGAGCTGCTCTGAGTTTAAATGAGACATCCACCTAGAGAACATGGAATAGTGTCTGGCACATGCTAAGTGCTAAATAAAGCTTTTCTCTGATTACACTAATCTCTGGTGTTCCACAGGCACATTGGTGATGCTGGCACATGATCCATGAAGTTGGATGCTTGAGGAGACCACACAAACAGCTAGTAGTGATGTTTAGATATACATCGTCTTTCACACAAAGCTTTGGACTTGACAGAATTCCGGCTAGCTACTTCAGAAATAAAAAATATGAGTCTGCAGTAGAATGCAGTGAAATGGCCACGAGGGGGCAGGCAAAGACTATAACAAATGAAACGGTCACAAGTAGAAGGTTAAGACCGCCCTCATCTCATGATGCTGTGGCCAATGGCACCAGGTTGTTTTCACATTGCTCATTGCTGACCCACCAGATAATGAGGTCATTATAAGGAAAGAGAGGCCATCCGTGCAAGAAACATGGCCTAGCCACCCAAACAAATGAACGAAGTGAGAGTAGCCAGAAAGCATTTCTTTTCCTATGTGGCATCCTCCTACTACTACAGCACAAGCCCTGCTGTCTGAAGTATGCAGCTTGGATTACGGATTGCAGAAACTTTAGACGTGTCTCTTAAATCTGGCACCCAAAGCTCTCTCCTGAGTGGGCTCCCAATCAAGCATATCTCATTTGAAATTCTCTCCAGTGATTTTTAACAAATGGTCCAGCCACCGGACCTAATGGCTGCCTCTTCTCTGCACCTTTTCTTTCATTACTTTTGACCTGAAATTCTCTTTTCCCCAGCTACAAAGGTCAAATGCCACTCCTCTTTCAAGANAGCTCACTCAAGAGTTTGAGCTCTGAGCAACAGGGTCTCCGGTTTGATTCACAGCCCGAGCTGAGCTGCCACTGAGCTGCCAACAGGTGTCAGGATGGCTCAGCTAAAAAAAAATATATATATATATTTGAACTCTAGTTTGGAAGACAGATATGGTTAAGAATAAATGTAGCGGAATGTTAAGTATGCAAATAGGAGTGTTTGCAAAGACAAAAGATTGGGATCATGCTCTAATATGTAACATGATTCTATAGCTATAAATGTAATTAGTGTATATGAATACAAAGGTCTAGCTACAGGCTGACTGCATCTATGAGTCAATAGATAGCTATGACTTCTTGTAGAAATGTCACAATTACTGATAAAGTGACTTTGCCTCCCCTGCTCCATGATGATCATAAAGGTTTTACCATATTTGTAGACTTTGTTTGCAACTCTGAGAGGAGCTAATTCAAGGAAAGCTTGCATATAACTCTGAAAGCTGAGTTTAAATAAGGTTCTACCTCAAAAATCTTTGCATCAATTATTGGCATTAAATTGCGAAATATTTCAATTTTGAATTCACATAGAAAATGCAGACTCAGTTATAATGCTTGAATATTTTATATTTGTATGGCATTTTACTTGATGAAAATAATCATCTTCTTTCTCAAGTGTCAAAACATTTCGATCAGGAAAGTAGTATTAGGGTATGGCCACCTCTTCGTTTTCCCCTTGATGTGCCATCTCGAAAGCTTCTACACCTCCAAACCTGAAAGTACTGCCTATGAAACACAATTAGCCCTAAAAACTATTGCTGCTCTTAGAAACTTCTAGCCTGGTTTGGAGAGACTCATTGCTCTTACAGGAGGTAGTTTTGTGACTATATCATGAACCCATATCTACCTGATAAAGTAGATTCTTATTTTGCCCTTAAATAAAATTCCCCATAAAATGTTTAATAACTCCATCTGTCCTCTTGCTACAAATGGAGCAAAGATGAAATCACCATCAGGTTATAGGAATTGCTCTTATTTCCTGCATCTTCTTAGACAAATAAGAACCTCTCCCTTGTCGTAACTTTCCTACTTTTACATTTAAAACACTTCTGAAATTTTGCAGTACAATAAATTTTAATAACTTTATATTTATATCAATATAAGCTGGAGATGGTTAAAATCATTAATGGTGGAGTTTATTTCCTTATGTTTTGAAATATAATATATACATAAAAATATTTAATAAAAATCATGTTTTTGGTATTTCTGACTATCTCTTTATTGATGGGACCTTGCCTTTTTTGTTTTGTTGTTTTGTTTTGTTTTCATTTCCTCTAACTACTGCTAAGTGTTACCTATTTATGAGTCTTTAATGCTTTCTTGGTCTCTCAGNTATATATATATGTATAAAATTTCCACAAGAGTTATTTTTCAAAGGCATTTCCTATGCAGATAATGTGCATATGCATTTTTTGTAAGTTGGATTTTAGCACAATCAAATCAAATCAAATCTATAACTGTATTAAACTTTGCCAATTTTGTATCTTTGAACTTGTAGCCTTGACTCAGTGAGGAGCCATCTGATAGTCACAGAGGGACTCGGGAAATCTCAGAAGTTTCATTGTTCTGAGGAATGGATTGCAAAATATTCATTACAAACTCAAATACAGACAGTGTCTGCTGGACCCTAATTGAAAACATCACACTGGGCGCATTTTCCTGTAACACGAGGCAGTTAAGCTCCTTTTTGAAGCACCCACTCAGGTCCAAGAACCTCCCCTGTGCAGATATACAAAGAAAGACACTGGGCAGAGCTTCCACCACTTGGGAGCTTGCGATCTGGTGGGAAAGACAAGCCCAGCACATAAAAACATTCTGATGCACATGAGCTGTATTCCCTCATTCCTGCAAATAACCCAGGTTGTCATGGTTTTTTATCAGGTCATTTAACCTCTATGGCAGTGAGCGCACATGAATCACCTGGCAGGGTAACTTTAAAACGTAGAGGACTGTTCTCATGCCCAGAGGTTCACATACAGAGGTGCAGCATGAAAATCTGAATTCCCAGTATCTTTCCCCAGTAATAAATTCTAGTGATGACCCTTTGGGAGACTGACTGATCTAGTGGACCTGTGGATGGTCTTTAAGGGGCCCTAAATGTTCTAAAATTATATATTAACTTGAGCTTGCATGTAAATTTGTCTAGAACATGGTCCATTCTGTTCATCAGCTTATTGAAAATTCATGTTGAAAATGGTTAAAAGTCATCATCTCCTTGGAGAGTAAATATTNGGAGCACTCTCTGCCTGTCAGCATTTTCTCCAATTCTCCAGCACTTGGCTTTTAAGCGATTGACCTATGCATCACACCTTACTCATCCTTTCACTAAAGGAAGGCCTTTCTTAAGCACTTGGAATTTGGAAAGTCCCTTTCTGGTTTGAATGGTGATGAAATCCACATAACATAAAATGAACCATTTTTAAATGTCTAGTTCAGTGGCATTTCGTACACACACAGTGTTGTGCAGCCATGACCTCTACCTAGTTCCAAAGTATTTTCATCACTCCCAAAGAGAACCCTGGGTCCACTGACCATCACTTCTCCCTCTCCCCTCGCTCCTGCCCCTGGAAACCACCAATCTGCTCCCTGTCTCGAGGGATTTAACTATTCTAGATATTTCATATAAATCATATAACATGTGGTCTTATCTGTCTGGCTTCTTTCATGAAAGTTCATTTCTTGGCACTAAAAATATCCACGTGAAGCTGCAGATTTTAATCACTGTACGGGCAGGAAAGGAAATGTAATGGCGGCTAGTGATTTGCCTGATAGTAGCGACTAAGGCTTTTCTGATTTCTTCAGCTTCAGCAGGGGACATGGGGAAAATGCAACATATATGATGCTTGCCAGCATCTATTTTCTATGGCTAGTTTGCTTTGGATAAAGATCCACAATACAGGTGACAATAGTAATAGCTTTGATAGATTATCTCATAGCCTTACCTCAATCTCTGCCCTTACTGTCAACAAGAGCAAGGGTTTGAATCGTGAACTTTACCGAGATGATTTCCTGCAGGGAGTGAGGATGGAGGGCCTCAGATATGGAAAGGCTTTCACTTATGAAGTGTTTGCAAGAACCCTTTTAAATTTTATTTTCACCAATGTATTTTATTCCCAGGTTTTGTGGCAGGTATCATTACCCCCATTTTAAAGATGAAAAAGCTGGGGATCCAAGAAGATAAAATNCTCTTAAAATATATTACAAAGGCACAGCTCAACTTTCTCCAGCCACTTGTTATCATAGCTCTCGCCATATTTTTTTTCCAACATGGAATCAAAGCATTTCAAATAGCAAAAGATACCCTGGGAGGAAAAACCAATTCATACCATGAGTAATGACTTTCTCATTTGGGGCCAAGGCTCAGTGGGAGTTAAGGTTATTTAAATCAATATGGTACAAAATAATTTCATTTTAAACCATTTTCTCATGTAAAAAATAAGAATAGTTACAGTAAAGAGAGTTTTAGGATGACTGTTATGTTTGTTTTCATGAATCTACATGAAAAATAATCTCAGCACATTCCATGAATTTCATAGGTTCCTTGGCTAAGTGAAAAATAAGCCAATAGTCCTTCATTTCTTGGCAAAGCTGGAATCTTTCAGAATAAAAATTTGAGTGATAAAAGAATCCTTCTGAATTGCTTAGTCTAGCTAGTTTTGTACATCAAGCAACTGAAGAATTGAAAGATTACATTTAGCTACTCTAAATGTATTTTTATTTTTCTCTTCTCCATCCATATTCTTTTCTACCCAGGAAATGGTCCCAATGAATTTACCAGGTAAGGCTTTTATCATTTTACTTCAATAGAGATGTCTTCCTTAGGACTAACAGGACAATTTTAGAGTAAGATAATGTTGCTAATTTCAATGACATATTGCAGGGTCTTGCTGTTCCTTAGCTTACAGTTCTTCCTGCTCACCATCAAATTTATCACACAGTTTGTTTGAATTTATAACTAATATTCCTAGTGAAAAACAGATCAGGTAGGAATAGGAAACTATATTCTAAGGCTTAGGAAAATTTTCCTTTATAAACGTTTAGGTGTATTATAGAACTCATGCCTCAGCTGACTTAGA